ACCAAACCAAAAGATTCATTCCTTTTAATTATATATTTTTGAAGAGGCATTTTCATCTTTCGTTCATACAGAAAATTGAAAAAAAAAAAAATCATTAAAGAACCCGGACTCGCTCGATTCAGTAGCAAACCGTGCTAAAATCTCGGCTAAAATATAGTTTTTTTTTTGGTAGATGAGGACATGCCTAACGTCGATGACGTCTGAAACAAATTGGCCTAGAAATAATACTAACTATATTTTCGGCATAAATTGCCCGGAATCTACCTAAAAGTAAAGTACTTACGTTTCACAACGTAGAACCGAAAGACACGCAACATCGAAATGGCAGCCAATATTGAGTTTGACAGCACGAAAATCTGTTCAGTAACTTTTACAGAATTCGGTACTTTATTGCTGATTCTGTTTGTAAAAGATTATTTTTACAGTACATTCGTCAAAAATTTTACAGAATTGCGGAATCGCAGCCTTTTACAGTTTCGATCCGCAAATTTTATTCACAGTTTTCGGTAAATGTATGTAAATTACTTAAATTCAGCAGTTCTGATTGCGGAAAATTGGTAAAAAAAATTTTTTACAAAGGATTCGGTAAAAATTACATTTTACCGAACAAATCCAGCAAAAAAAGTACCGAACAAGATTTAAGAAAATGGGTGTGTAAGGAGTTGTCAAAATCTGGGTAAACTAATTTTGTTCTGACGAGTAGAATCTACCAAGATTCTGGGCAAATAGTTCTAATCGAAATTTTCCTAAAGTTAAAAATGGCGCAGGTATGAAAGGGAGATTGTTGCGCTGCCAGTAAAAGTTAAGATCCTCAAAATATATTAAACGGCGCCGGTGGTGTAGTGGTAAGCGTGATTACCTCTCACCCCAGCAGGCCTGGGTTCAATCCCAGTCGGCGCCGCCGGGATGTTCTGAGGCATAACATCTCTGATCACGCCTTCCTTCGAATGGGAAGTAAAGCCGTTGGTCCCCGGTTCATGAGTTGATGGGTCGATAGGTAGGGTCCAGGTGTGGGAGCTGCCTTCCTGGCACGTCGGTAGCATTGGTACTCAGCACGGAAAACAAGATCGACGGAAAAAACAAACCAAAGGAAAAAAAAAAATATTAATCGGATGCTAAACAATGTACATATGTATATGTAACTGTTTCATGGCGAATGCTACCAGAAGCTTAAGCTAGTAAGTATAATGTTAGTTTCTGGACTTTGAACATTTTCCTAATGCTACACTAATAGAATTCCAGACATTTTATTGACGAATTTCCATGTGAAATTCCACATGACTTTGATGTGGACACACATAAACAGAATCCACCTAGAAGCACACATGAAATTTATGAGTCAAATGAATAGTATGTGTGGTTACACATTGCTTTTATGTGTACACATGTTCATTATGTGTTCGACACATAGATATTATTTGTTGATCACATTGCAAAAATTCATGTGTGGGACACATAAAAACAATCTTTGAAATTTTATCAGTGTAGGTTATCGAGATCTTCTGTGATGCTTTTCTCGATACTAATGGTGGTAAGCTCCAACTGATATTATCCTCGGATTAAATCCCGATCAAGAATGTCCGGCTGCTTTGATGTCGACATCAGAGTGAATCAACGCGGCTTTAAGCAAATATTTTGCAGATCATCCAAACAGGGACGGTATTAAAAGTTAATCCGAGTTGGAGCTTACCACCATAAATGTTTGTTGTAGTTCCTAATTTATAGATCTCTAATAAAATCGAATCTCAATCAATGGTTAGCATTTGTAACGGTATCGTTTTTGGGGATTTTATAACTAGTTCGTTTATTTGGAAGGCTCATTTTTGGGTATTTTAATGTCGTATTCCGTAGTTTGTATTATTCCGACAATACGACATCAACAATCAATAACAGGCTAGAGGAGCTAGTCGGGTGAGGTTATGTTTGATAAAGCTATTGCAGCGGTCATGTCATCTAATTTCTTTTAAAATGGGTAAAGTTTACCCTTTTATCAAATGTCAACATCTGAGTAACCGTTACCCAATTTGTGTCGCATGTACGTTTACCCAGATTTGGGTAAATGTATGTTTACCCATTTTTGGGTACGTTCAGTTTTGACCAATCTGAGTAGTATCTACACAAATTTGGGTAGTTTTGAAATAGCGTGTTGCTGATTATTCATAAAAACTTTAAAGTGGACCCTACACGACAGTTTGTATTGACAATAATCGTATTGTCAATACATTTTATATTGACGTCAATACATCGATATTGACAATATTTCTGTATTCACATCATCATTATTATTGTCAATACTTGTAAGTATTGAGAATATTTCTTACCGTGTGGGGTTCGCTTAATGTATTAGCGAAGACAACAAATCAAACGCTATAAGACAGGTACAATCGCGTCATCTGTCGCTCAAAGGTAAATGCTTCGAACGAATTTGATAGCAAAGATTACATCCTCAGACGAAGGGTTTGTGAATTTGCTCATTTTTCTATGCGTTGCTTCCACCTTCACTCAAACGCAGCGCTACCAAAGATGAATACTAAGATGAAACTGTCGGAAGAAAAACTTTCTATTTTAGTGTCTTCTTTCACGGTCCCTTTCATCCAATGAGAACCCCCCGTATTCAAGGTAATTTTGTGGTTTTGCTGCCCCCTCGGAAGAGATGAAATTTTGCGCTCATTTTTATCAAAACAATCACACCAAAATCAGAGATGTCCCATTTTTTAATTACTCGATTAACAACTAATCGATTATTTTTTGTTCGCTGTGCTGCTATTTTTCCACCAATGAGAGTGCAGCACATATTTGAAACGATCGGTGATGATCCTGTGGAGATGTTAATGCTTATATCGGCATGATCTAACCGATTATAAATAGTTTACTTTTCGGTTCGTTAATCGATTAAACGATTATTCGAATGAAAATCGGACATCACTAGATGAATGTGAAACGTCATTTCAAATATAAGGCCGTTCATAAATAATGATACAATTTGAAAGGGACCGGGGCTAATCACAAATTACGTCTCCATGGTAACTGAAATAAACACGAGTGTTCACCGGTTGGCGCTACTGTATCTGTCGCTTGGATTCTGGCAAAGTTGCCAGTCTTCTTGATTTGTTGTTTTCGGTATTAGTCAACTACGAGGTCAACTAATAAGCAGACGCCTTGCAAAAAGGTAATGAAGCTCATGTGTCAAGTGAAATGTATAAGCGGTCACACATACCTTTTATGCATTCTTAGGATCTATGTGGTTTGTCTTATATGGAATGTTTTGGCAAAAATGTATAAGTGAAACACATGAACAAAATAATTTATTTTCCCATTTAGAAGTAAAGTAGGTTTACCCAAGGTGACTACATATAGGTGTTCTAATGTGTCAAATTCATGATTCAGCCATGTTGGATTTTTGTATGGGACAGCGCACGAGTTTGTTTACAATTTGCTCTAAAACCGCACTTTTCCCCCCGCGACCCCCTCGCCTACCCTAATAAAAATTGTATGGTTAATTTGCTTAACGACGTGTTCTGGGTATCATCCAAACCATTTATGGAATAGTTCAATGATTTGGGTTATCGTTCGTTTATGGTTATTTTTTATTAGGGTATATAGTGACAAAGCTGTATCACCATTTATATACCCACTATGGGTTAACCCTCGCCTTTCATAGCATCGTAATTTTTGTTTACTTTGCACGATACACGGATAGAAATCTCCTTATACCTTTTGGCAAATTTCTATTGGTGATTATTCATAAAATGTATAAGTCAACTAATAAGCAGACGCCTTGCAAAAAGTTAATGAATATCATGTGTCAAATGAATTTTATAAATGGTCACACATACCATTTATGCATTCTATTAGGACCTATGTGGTTTGTCTTATGGAATGTATAAGGCTGATGCTTTGGCAAAAATGTATAAGTGAAACACATGAATAAAATAATTGATTTTCGTTTCGTGTAGGTAGCTGGTTTGACAGTTCGATAGGTAGACTTGGCTTCACTCTTGGCGTGACTCATTATACACCGACCCTAAGGAAAAACCAATAACCCCTCATTTTATCTGTCAAACTTTCATAGCGAATCAAAAAAAACATTGCGTAGTACTAGAATTTCGACTAGAATGGGGTACGTGAATCGTTTGCTTGGGACCACTAGCATAGAGGTAACTCTAAGACCACTGGGTCCCGAAGAAAATCATTATTATTTTTGGCTCACTCAGTACCAGAACAACGGTCCCAAGCAGTCCCAAGCTATTTCACTCACCCCTGCATGTTCTGCATGAATCCACACACCCCTGATGTTATCTGTCAAACTTTCATAGCGAATCAAAACAAACATAGTGTAGTAATAGAATTTCAACAAGAATAGGGTACGTTAATCGTTTGCTTGGGACCAATAGGCTACTAAAGTGGTGAGCCAATTTAAAATCGTTAGTTTCGTATTGATTGTTGCCACTAGGCTAGTCAAGTAGTGAGCCAATTTAAAATCGTTAGTTTCGTATTGATTGTTATTAATACCATAGAGGTAACTCTAAGACCACTGGGTCCCGAAGAAAATCATTATTATTTTTGGCTCACTCAGTACCAGAACAACGGTCCCAAGCAGTCCCAAGCTATTTCACTCACCCCTGCATGTTCTGCATGAATCCACACACCCCTGATGTTATCTGTCAAACTTTCATAGCGAATCAAAACAAACATAGTGTAGTAATAGAATTTCAACTAGAATGGGGTACGCCATAGAAGTACTTGGGACCAATAGGCTACTCAAGCAGTGAATCAATTTAAAATCGTTAGTTTCCACCCCCTGTTAATACCGTTTACCCACTAATGGGTAACAATTGCACATTTATGGGTATTAGTTACCCATTAATGGGTAATTTTTTTACCCATTTAATGGGTTAACCTACTTTACTTCAAAATGGGAAAAATTGTACCAATTAATGGGTCCTTTCCAGTTACAGTGCGTGTACTCCAGTTAAAGCATTTTGACGTTCCACTGCAATCGCCGATATATATAGGGCGATAAACCTATATGAAATTATTTTTCCTTAAAAGCAATAGAAGTCTTGTGCTTTATAAACACCAGCAAAACTATTAATCAAGTATGGATGATGATGCAGAAACCTACAAGCTATGGAGAATTCGGAAAACGGTCATGCAACTTAGTCACGATAGAGGTTATCTTGTGACCCAAGATGAATTGGATCAAACACTGGAACAGTTCAAGGAGCAGTTTGGCGATAAACCGAGGTAATTTTGGATAATCTGTGTCCGAAGAATTGGGAAATTTAAATATTTTATTTTCTCATAGTGAAAAACGACCAGCACGTTCGGATTTGATTGTTTTGGTAGCCCACAACGACGATCCGACGGATCAGATGTTCGTCTTTTTTCCAGAAGAACCGAAAATAGGCATCAAAACAATCAAGACTTATTGTACCCGAATGCAAGAGGAAAACATTCATCGTGCTGTCGTAGTAGTACAAGCCGGAATGACACCGTCCGCTAAACAATCACTGGTTGACATGGCACCCAAGTATATTCTGGAGCAGTTCCTTGAATCAGAACTACTAATCAATATCACCGAACATGAACTTGTTCCGGAACATGTGGTAATGACACCGGAAGAAAAACAGGAACTTTTGGCACGATACAAACTGAAGGAAAACATGTTGATGAGAATCCAGGCCGGTGATCCAGTGGCCCGTTACTTTGGTTTGAAGCGCGGTCAGGTGGTCAAGATTATTCGGCCTTCTGAAACAGCTGGGCGGTACATTTCTTACCGATTAGTATGCTAAATAAGTAATTGCTATATTTATCAATACAGGGCTGGAAAAGCGGGCCTAACAACTTTTGTACACAATTCGCCAATACGAAACATGGCGGACATTTGTTTGACGTATCCAGTGGGACTTCCCCTACACGATGATTATGTTGGTTTACGTGGGTGTGTCTTAAATTCCTAAAAATCATCGAGAGAAGTCATTGGTTACAAAAACTGCTAGGCCTTTTTCCAGCTCTGTATTGACAAGAAATGCATTATTGTAATGAATAAATTCTTTATGAAAAGCACACGTAGTGCATTATTGTTGCATTGTTTTGGGGTTCAGTACTGGACGAACATGTCACAAGTTCCTATCTACTTTGATATATCATATCTCGCCAAATCGACGATCAAATGCATTGTTTACAAAAGCTGATACGTTCCTTTGAAAAAGTTATCAAGATATGATATATTATAAGCAAAGATGAAACTGTCGGAAGAAAAACTTTCTTTAACGTCTTCTTTCACGGTCCCTTTCATCCAATGAATACCCTCGTATTCAAGGTAATTTTGTGGTTTTGCTGCCCTTTCCTTTGGTTTGTTTTTTTTCCGTCGATCTTGTTTTCCGTGCTGAGCACCAATGCTACCGACGTGCCAGGAAGGCAGCTCCCACACCTTGGACCCTACCTATCGACCCATCAACTCATGAACCGGGGACCAACGGCTTTACTTCCCATCCGAAGGAAGGCGTGATCAGAGATGTTATGCCTCAGAACATCCCGGCGGCGCCGACTGGGATTGAACCCAGGCCTGCTGGGGTGAGAGGTAATCACGCTTACCACTACACCACCGGCGCCGTTATAGCAGCTGAGTTTTCAATTACAGTAAAACAATCCTTTGCGAAACATACGAATCAAAAAATCCCCAGAATGTACCATTTCCCAGAAATTGAAGGATCAGCCAGAAAGCAATAATAAAACTAAAGAACAGCTCATGTTTGAAAGAAGGGAAAATCTCTATTAAAAGTACGCCAGTAGACCTTTTTGACGTTTAATCGTTTTTCTCTATCTTGCACTCAGGGATGAATGGATGATTGTTTTCCCACTAATCTGTTTCCTTCTTGCTCGCACTCCTTCAATTTAAATGGTGCATTAGTGTGCGCCGATTAAACGTCAAAAAGCTCTGTGAGCTGGGAGCGCCAGTGCGGCAGAAATGCCATTGTATCTATTCATCATATGTTGTAGAAGAAGTTGCCGGCGCCGGTGGTGTAGTGGTAAGCGTGACTGCTGTCTAACACCCCAATGGGTCTGGGTTTAATCCGAGCCGAGGTCGGTGGGATTTTTCTGGGGCATAAAAATCTCTGGTCACGTCTTCCTTCGGAAGGGAAGTAAAGCCGTTGGTCCCGGCCCACACACTTAAAATTTTTCGCCGAGATTCCAACAGCCGAGTAATTCTGCAATTCATTTTGCTGAGATTCAGTCAAACAGTTGCCGAGACTCAGCTAACAAATAACATTTTGCTGATGTATCAGCTAACAAACAGATATTTTGCAGAGATATCAGCAAAAGTAAATGCCGAGGTTATCAGCTGTTGGAGATTTTACCGAGCTAGATTAAGTGTGCATGGGTGCGATATCCTACGCAGGTGTGGAAGCTGCCTTCCTGCACATTCGATTGCCGTCATCGATGTCCGTCGGTGATTGGCACTAGATTGTGGAACAGAGACCGACGTTAAATAAAGGAAAGAAGAAGAAGAAGAACATAGTATTAATTTTGTTATTTTTATTAAATTACGCATTAATTTATTCGAATACCATAGCTTCAAATTGCTCCAAATTGTTTTTCATTGTTTTCATTTTGTAAAATATCAATATTGGGTGTATATGTTTTTTGGATGAATATATAATATATTTGAATAAATAAAAAAAAATCCAATAAATGATGATTTTTCCTTCTTTTATTATGAGCTGTTCTTTCGTATTTTATTGAAAGAACCAACATTTTCAAATATTACTCCTTTAGACCTTTTATCATGATCTATTTAAAAAATTAAAGTGTTGTGTCCTAGACGCGACCGCAGTACGACGTAGAACCACACGAAATTGATATTTTTCATGCATTTTTGACTATTATACTTTATCTTAAAATTTTCAAGTATTTCAATGTTTCGGTTATGGTTCACTCAAAACAATTTAAACATTTTTTTTTTTACAAATATATTAATGTGAAATTCCACATGATTTTCATTTGACCACACATAAACAGAATCCACTCAGAAGTACACATGAAATTTATACGCAAATGAATAGTATGTGTGGTCACGCATGGTTTTTATATGTACATATATTAAGCACAGACAAACAGACGTAACTCTTTGAAAAACTTGTTCTTGAAAACATAGTATCTCAAAACATATAACCTCAGTAGCGACATCTATCTGGCTTCTCGCGGAAAACAAGCTTGCTCGCTAACTCGTAAACAATATTGCATAAAAGTATAAAGAATATATAGAAACTAGAAACGTCAAAGTGATCTGATGCCAGCGCTGCGGCGAGTAGTTCGCGGAACTGATAATATTCAAATCAACCGTTAAATGCATGAACGAAGATACACAATGAAGAGTTACGTCTGTTTGTCTGTGTATTAAGTATCTGGCCGACACATAGATATTGATTTGTTCATCACGTTGCAACAATTCATGTGTGGAACACATAAAAACTCCAGAACAAGATCCTTAGGATGATCCTAAACAGTCCAGGATCCGAAATTCTGAGGTTCACCGCCTGGCTGGCCTTCAGCCTCTCGAAGAGCGACGAACGGTTTCCTTGGAAAGGTTCAGAGACACCTGTCTGAAATCATGCGTGATCTGGCACGTTAGTTAAGTTAGACTCGTAGTTAGGTAGGTTATCTAATTTTTCATTTAAAACAATACCCCAAGGGGTATTCTGTTAACTAGATGAAATACGCAAATACTAAATTAGAATATCCAATGAACAAAGATGAAGAGCCAGATAGGCTAATCAATTGAAATGCAAAATCAATGTATACACTATAATCAACAGAAATAAACGAATTTTTACTACTACTACTTTTACTGTCAGTGGTGTGTAATTCATCAACATAATATCATCGAATATGTCTTTCAAGCAATTTTTTTTTTCTCAAATTTGAAAGTTATGGTGCGGGAAGAAATTAAGGGGAAAAACTTCTGTTTTTACTAATAATTGTGGTTTGTTTAAAATTTATTTCCCGGAAAAAAGTGATCGTCAGTGTCTTTTTCGGATTAATGTTGAGGGGGAGGTTGTTGTGAAGGGAGGGAGGGGGTTTACAAACATTTCTTTTCCTCATTGTGTCGCATTCCTCATTATGGTCACGCCGTGATCCACCTTTAGCCACTGACTTGGTCCTGCTTGCTGCAGGACCAAGTAGCACGCCGTCTGAGGCGACAATGAGCACGACAGCAGCGCTGTTTTATATCTTTTGAGGATCAAGCAGAACGATGTGCAACCGAACCTGACAGGATTTCCCGCCGTTTTTTTATGAATGGGGCGGAGCAGAAAGTTTCTTTTGTACAGAATATGTAAAATAGGATGGATTTTGGATGTTAATATAATTGCATATATAGATATGTTTTACAGCCACTTGTTGGTAATCCATCGAGTGTATGTCTCCTGTTAAGCAATTGTTTTTTGAAAATGTTGGCTCTGCATGTAAAAAATTAATTATTTATACGTAATTGTGGTTTGCTTAAAATTTATTTCCCGGAAAAAATGATCGTAAAAGTCCATGTCTTTTTCAGGTTATTGTTAAGGGTAGAGGTTGTTAAGAGGGAGGGGGTTTTACATGTCTCATTCCCAAAGATCAAGTCTCATTCCTCATTGTGGTGGACACGTCGTGATCCACCTTTAGCCGCTGACTTAGACCTGCTTTCTGCAAGACCTAGTGCCACACCGTCCGAAGCGGTAATGAGCAGAGGCAGGAGAGCAGCGCTGATTTATATCTTTTCATGCTAAAGCAGAATGATGTGCAACCAAGTGGTATTCGTTTATGATGACTGGGTTTGGGAAAAAGGCTTATTTCATGAAAACAGTGATAAAATTATCATTTGTACATTGTCAATAGTTTAACCAAAGATGAATACTAAGATGAAACTGTCGGAAGAAAAACTTTCTATTTTAGTGTCTTCTTTCACGGTCCCTTTCATCCAATGAGAACCCCCCGTATTCAAGGTAATTTTGTGGTTTTGCTGCCCCCTCGGAAGAGATGAAATTTTGCGCTCATTTTTATCAAAACAATCACACCAAAATCAGAGATGTCCCATTTTTTAATTACTCGATTAACAACTAATCGATTATTTTTTGTTCGCTGTGCTGCTATTTTTCCACCAATGAGAGTGCAGCACATATTTGAAACGATCGGTGATGATCCTGTGGAGATGTTAATGCTTATATCGGCATGATCTAACCGATTATAAATAGTTTACTTTTCGGTTCGTTAATCGATTAAACGATTATTCGAATGAAAATCGGACATCACTAGATGAATGTGAAACGTCATTTCAAATATAAGGCCGTTCATAAATAATGATACAATTTGAAAGGGACCGGGGCTAATCACAAATTACGTCTCCATGGTAACTGAAATAAACACGAGTGTTCACCGGTTGGTTTAACTACAGAAAAATTGGGAAAATATTAATTTCAGCAGGTTCGTAATGTAATATCGTATCGATTGGCGTATTTGGATTTTAATTTCATCTATAAATGACAAAGTTACAAGCGTTCAAAACCTAACACTCCTTCACCACACATATTTTTTGATTTGCACTCCAGTATAGTCGACAAAGACGTAGTTCTACGTCAAAAAATACGAAAGACCAGTTTGTGATCAAAAGAAGGGAAAATAATCATTGCGGCCATTGTATTACATCCAATAAGGGCCTGGCATGTCATATCCGTAGTGTAAGTTTCAAAGTATTCAAATTTAATATAACATGGCTGGTTTCCATGGTAACACATGCGCATGCATGCGTTGTCAGGCTGGACCCACAGTCTGAGCCCTCGCTTATATTGACTACTATAGTCGCTATATTCATAGTCTGGCGGATATAATTTCGTGGAACCAATTGAACTGCCAAATAACGGAACCAATCGAGCATATTACGACCAACAACAGATAAGAGCATATAAGGTTTTGCGACCTAAATTCCGGGAACACTTTTCTCGCGGTTTAAAGCTTGTGTAGACATAACAACACGCAGAAAAATTTATTGTTGAAACAAAAATATTTGAGGTAAATTTAAACATAAACTCAGTTTGTTCTGGCCACAAAAATAAACAATGTTTATTTCAAACGTATTCCATGTTTAAAGTCATGTAATATTAATGTTTAAAATAAAAATAATGTTACGTTTATTTTAAAAATATTCGTGTTGAAAATAAACGTGTAACGGCGCCGGTGGTGTAGTGGTAAGCGTGATTACCTCTCACCCCAGCAGGCCTGGGTTCAATCCCAGTCGGCGCCGCCGGGATGTTCTGAGGCATAACATCTCTGATCACGCCTTCCTTCGGATGGGAAGTAAAGCCGTTGGTCCCCGGTTCATGAGTTGATGGGTCGATAGGTAGGGTCCAGGCACAGACAAACAGACGTAACTCTTTGAAAAACTTGTTCTTGAAAACATAGTATCTCAAAACATATAACCTCAGTAGCGACATCTATCTGGCTTCTCGCGGAAAACAAGCTTGCTCGCTAACTCGTAAACAATATTGCATAAAAGTATAAAGAATATATAGAAACTAGAAACGTCAAAGTGATCTGATGCCAGCGCTGCGGCGAGTAGTTCGCGGAACTGATAATATTCAAATCAACCGTTAAATGCATGAACGAAGATACACAATGAAGAGTTACGTCTGTTTGTCTGTGGTCCAGGTGTGGGAGCTGCCTTCCTGGCACGTCGGTAGCATTGGTGCTCAGCACGGAAAACAAGATCGACGGAAAAAACAAATCAAATGAAAAAAAAAAAAAAAGAAAATAAACGTGAATATTTTTGTTTGGTTTGACAACTATGCGAACAAAAATAAATATGTTTATTTTAAACATGCTTCTTATGTTTGAAAGAAACATACTTAATTTTAAATTATATTAGCATTTGAATGTAGGATAAAGCAGAAAAATGGATTGCCAAGAGATGAAAAAAAAAAGGATCTGCAGGAAGATCCCGAATTCAGTTTGATTGCAATGTAGGATTGGAAATGCAGGAATCGGAAGAAGATGAGGATGAGGAGAAACCGTTGAGTTCGGTAAGGAAGGAGGATGAATACAGCACTGATTTTAGTCGAGATTTTAGTAAGAAGTTGATCCAACAAATTCATCAGTCGAGTCAGGATTGTGTGAATATGATAAAGCTTGCTGAAGTTTCGAAGCGGAAAGAAGTGGAAACAATTACGGAGAGAGCAAGAACACAAGGCAGGTGCAAATGAGGAGGATGTTTCGGACCTGCTTATGGCAGGAGAGAAGATTAAAGATAAAAGCTCGAAGCAAACAGGAAGAAATGACATTATCCCCCTGGCTAGAGGATCCGGAATAGATTCAAAATCCATTTCGGATTTTCGTTTTCCTTTGTAAAGACACTTACCTAGGTGGGTTTCTGCATCCATGACTTCGGTTTTGTTGCGGGCCGTTTTCAGTTTATTGGTAAAGCAAGGGCAATTTTTTTTTTCCGAATGTAAACAAGGAAAAAATGCAGGGCACGCTAAAAATTGTTTACCCAAATTCTAGATTGTTGAAATAAACATGCTTTTGACTTTAATTCAAACATATATATTTTTGTTGCAAACATGTTTTTTATTTATTTTGAACTATTCATATGTTTATAGAATGAAATTTTTATTTTTTATTTAAATGAACAAAATTCGGTTCCGTGAACATAATAATTTACTTGGGGAACGTTTTCCTATTCCACGATGCTTTTGATTTGCGTTCGGTTTGCAAGGAATGAACCATCTTAGTTTTGATTATAAAATTTGAGCCCCTTTTCATTTGTTGGTTGGCCCCTTTAAAAGATCTTGAATTGGTTCTCTTTTTTTGCTAGATGGAATTTCTCTCCGCTAGATTATGAATATAGCGACTATATTGACTACTACCAGTTGTTGCTTGTAGGTTGTAGAGGATAGGGATGTCAGTCTCACACAGATAAAAATTCTGAATTTTAATAGTGATGTAAACATTCATTCACGTAATCTTGTATTTCATTTCACGCAACCGAGCAACTTGTAAACAATGTTGTTTACAACAATGGGCTTTTATATACATTATTTGCTGCATTGCATGAAATGTCTTAGAACTTTACATGATATAATGTAAACTTATATGATATGTGACGCTCCATTTATGTGCATCATACTGAACAGAAATTTACACTACTTTTTCGAACTGTGCGTGATTACATCAAGTTTAGTGCATTGAATATAGTTGAAAATGTAACTACACTGATGTTATTTTTTAGTTGGTACGTGTTTATTGTACAGAAAAGAGAGCTATAACATGCAAAAAATCTATCTTGATGACATTTTTCTTGTCCAGAATGGTTATAATATGTAACAACAAGGGCTGTAGTACGACAAAAGCAAATAAAAAATCACGGAAATGGAACAATCTATTTTTCAGGGAAATAGTCCATTCTGGGGAATGGTGTATTCTGGGGAATGGTTTTATTGGGAATAGTCCGTTCTGGGGAATGGCTTTCTGGGGAATGGTGCATTCTGGGGAATAGCATTCTGGGGAATGGCTTTCGGGGGAATGTCATACAATCATTAATAATAACAAAAAAATATTCAATTTTTGTTCTATTGAATTGTCGTAATGATCACAATACTTACACCCCATTGATACCTTAAGACACAGTCATGCTCGATTAACTCCTAGAAAACTCCAAATCCGATCGCGAAATGCAGCAGACGCAAGAAGGCAAAAAGATCAAACAAATTTACATTTTGTTATCTTTTCAATGAATAAATACGTTTTTGTTTTCAAGTAATTGGTCGCGAGGTTTCCTTTCGTTCTCGAAATTGTCCAGTCCAAGTCCAGATTAAAAATACCTATATTGCCGTTGGTATCGTAAATAATCTTATACCTTTGTAAAACAAGTATAGGTTAGGCAGGTCAAATAAACAAAACTAGAACTAGGACTATCCAAAGTAATACACGTTATGTGGTAGTTTTTATTCCGCTACCTTCGGGCTTGTGATATAAAGAAACAATGGTCGACGTGCGATTTATCATGTTCGTTTATTGGTATAATTGGGTATGTCGCATTAGTTTTTAATCTGTTTACCGAAGTTTTATTTTGTTTGTCAATTAAACTTTACAATACCTGAGATAAATCTCACATTCCAACGAAAATAAAGAAATACAAACATTCTTGTTACCAATAGCACTGAAAATTGCCTTCATGGAGTATTTTTGTTTTTTTTTTTTACATTTATAATGCAAACAATTCAAAGCTACCTACTGCGGTACCAGAAGATTAATTGAATTTGTGGAATAGTGCTAAGAGAAATAAATATGTATACATAATCATGGAGAATATTGACAAAAGCAGATACAATGTTCCCAGAAATTGTCCTGTTGTAATTTAGCGTTGGGTATAAAATAACAAGTGTTGGAAAGTAGAATTTACGGAAAAATTTCAAGCATTTCTTTTTACTTATCGCAAGTTAGCAATACTGACATGATTAATTATGTACGTTATTTGTTTATTACAGTGTTCAACTTTTTATTTTTAACATAATCGGTATCATCGTTTGATTAGTTTTTTGTTTGGCAGTAAATATTTGCATGTGTTTTGTATGATGCATTGAGCTGAAATCGTAATTTCAGCATTCTTTGAACAAGTTTTAGGTTTCAATATCTTGCTATGTAGGCTGCTATTTCTGCGTACAGGTATTTATGTTAAATTTTATTCTATTCCTATTTAATTTATTTCTTGTTCTTGATATCTGCGCGTAGGTGGTAATTAGTTTTCAGCACTAATTAGTTCAAGGTAAACTAAAATATAACTTAGTAAATTTATCTAGTAATCAATTTACATAAATAGTTGAGGTATTTGAACTAAATTGATGAAATTATACTAAACGTTACTTTGTCTTTCAATTGAACTGAAATCTATCAAAGTCAATTATTCGGCACAGATATGGTGGCACAAGTTTTATTGAAAATCCTAAAAAAAATAAACACAGAACGGCTGGCTTTGTTATTGGATTAACTGATTAGTGAGATACCGCACGTGATGATTATGTTTCTAAACATAAAGTACTGTCGTTTATCTACTAGGACCATTCGGCGATCAGTTCGTACGTATTAGCCTTACAATAAAAGTATCCCCACATATCAGATGGTTTGGTATCAATAGTAACTCCTTCCTTAATGTTAGTATTTGATTATTTATTTTTATGTTTTGTAAGCTATTGATTTTGTTTCGATAATTGTCTATAGATATATTTTATTATACTTGCTAGCATGTAAGTAGTTTATGTCGTTTATTATATTTGCATTAGTTATAAAAATGGAAGTCATGACCTAAGCTTATTTGTCTACACTACACATCACTTCACTACAGTATCTGTTTAGTAATAGAAACTTTATTCACGTCATTTCAAACCTAATTCCGATCCAGCTTTTAGAGCTCATTATTCGCACATTAGTTAACAACTTTTGCACGTTCCATTTCTTGCTAAGCAAAATCATGATTGAATAAAACAAAAAAAACTTACTGGGAAGAAGAGGTAAAAGATTTTCAAAATAGAATAGTTGGCTAAACAAGTAACGAAAATCGTGAAAACAAAAGTGGAAGAACACTATTACTGTTAATAATACTGAAGGTTTCTGTAAGAATAAAATTAAGCAAAGTAACACGTTTAATATCGATGGATAATCAAAACTAGAACAATTTTTGTCATTAATTTGTTATTCTACCTATGGATTTTGTCATTTGTCTTCCACTTTTTTGTGACTTCTTTCTCTGTCTTTTTATATAGGACGTCATACGAGTCCGCCAGTTTATATACCTATAATCGTCATGGGGTAACTAAAATCCTGGGGCACCGAACTATGTGCCCTAGAACATGAGGCATGATGCAGCATCATTCGAAATTGAACGTTCCCTGATGATGATAAGCGTAACAACTGACGAAGAAGTTGAGAAGAGTTCTACCAAATTTGTGCATTTTGCACTGTAGACGGCGCTAAAAAGAATCGCTCTGATTTTTTTCCGTTTTAGTTACAAAATCCAATTTTGATTTATATAAAACTGGTATCAACACTAACAATTAGCAGCATTAAGCAATTCTTTTAGTACAGGATTCTGACGCGGTGCAAAATGCCCATTACAATGGATTACATAATGCATTATGAAACAATATTTTTTATTAGACAAATTGAAATCGCTGTCTTACTTGGCGGACCAATTTTTTCTTGCCTTTATAGGCAATGGTGATATTTTCAATGAGACGTGAAAAATGTGCCGGTCCATCACGAGCCAGCATAAAGGTGTCTCTTGCCTTGCTGAGGAAATCTATAAAATCACTGTAGTGCCTTGGAGATATATGAGACAACCTGTAAAAAAAAATAGGGATAAAAAGAGAGTTTTATGAAATGTGTAATAAATACATACCTCGAATGCGTTGTATTCACGTAGGCAGAAACAGCTGCTTCCAGAAGTTGGTTAAGTGGTTCTCTATCGTAGCTCAATTTCATACATTGCCGCATACTGTTGCCTGCATAGAATAAAAAAGAGGTATACTGTCAACATTTTCCTTTGATGGATTTGTTCAATAAATTACTTCTACCATGTGTACTAAAATTGTGCATTCCTGGAGTAGGTACACTGCATCGGCGTAGAATATCCGATAGAACGGTGGCACATTGAACATTCTTAATCACCAGAGGAATCATCTTGGACAGTTCTGCCTTGCCCAGCGAATGAGACAGAGCACATGCCCAATGGATGTCATTTATTGCCGGATGGGTATCTTGGTTGTATGCCAACTGTACGTTTTTCATAGCAAGCATTGCCAAGTTGTACGCTCGAGATGGGTAACCTCTGTGTTCCATATACCTACAATTTACAGTGCCTATTAACCAAACTGCGATGCAAATGGGAAGGATATTCTTACCTAGCAATGGTAAACAATTGACTAGAAGTCATAATATGCATAGCTGCGTCTATGACAATATGATAGGCTGTTTCAAAGGCCATCGCATCGTTTTCGCATAAAGTTAACGCATTTAGAGCGCAATTTGGTGGATCTTTAGTTGCACATTGCAGAGCTAACGTTCGGGCGCAGTTTGATAACTCATCCTGCTGCCGGAAGTTCAAATTCAATCGCATGATCGTTGAATGTGACATTATCGTAGTCGCAACAGGCCCTGTTGCTTCTGTTGGTGTGAAGAGGTGATACCTGAAACGAGAGAAAACAAATTAGTCAACATTGCTGCTCTGGCATACAAGGTTTATGAGTAGAGCAAAATTCATACCAATTTTGCATAATCGACATCAATGCCTCGAGTCCGACATGTGAAGCGCACGTTACGAGCCATCGTACCATTTCTCTGCGACGCCAGTTTAGGCATGTCAGTGTCATACGCATGACTTGCAGGCCCAATTCGAAGGCAACGCCCAGTAGCGTTTGACTGCGGGGATTGTTTTCGGGTGTGGCAAATCGGAATGCATCTTGTGCCAACTGAAATGCGAAGAATACCATCAAATTTTTTTGACTGTCAGTACCATCTCTCTCACACAACAACTTACCTTGAATAAATGCGACGAGCTGTGTATATTTCGACGAGCATTTTCAAGCACTGCCGATAACCGTTTTGTATCTCCTTTGGCAGCACTAAGCATTGTTGAGCTGAGTGAGCATTGCTGAGTCTCTAAGTGGCCTAAAGTCCACCAACGAGGATATGGCGAATGCATGAAGTTATTGTGTTGCATCTCAATTCCATTGACTGAACCCTCGGTGACGTTTTCGAGAATGGGAAAACGCATAGCTCGCAAACCAATGCTGAAGGCCAAGTCTGAATATTGATTAAGCAATGATGCAAACAGAAATCTGGCCAAAGTGTGCATAGGAACCGACTCAGGATGTATCATTTCTCCAAGACCACTAGTTGGGCCACCATCTAATAACTGGATACTAAGATTCTTCAGCACATCGATCAGCATCTGATCTAGGTCTATGTTTCTCAAACGGGAAATCAGTTGATCCTGTTGCTTGCATATCACGTGTTGAGCGTACAGACCATGCGGCATAATGCGCTGCTTACTTAAAGCTAGTATTGCTGCTTCAAAAGCCAGCGTTAGGTAGGTTTCATATTTATCCTTACTTCCTGGCACAGGAATGTGGCGATATTTGGGTGGAATTATGTTGACATCCTCAGGAGCTGTAGCATTATTTTGGCTATTTCCATTTGCTCCAATTTCATAAGCCATGCGACTGATTTCATTAACCATAGCTTCGGGCATTATGCATGCCTCTGTTAAACAGTCAAAAATGCAAGCTATGGCATCCAAAGGAAATTCTACTTCACAACCAATGCTGCAGTCAATACATTTTGATAGACAGTTTGGTTTGCGGTTTATTTTAATCGGATCTAGTAAAGAGGAAGCTTTCGACGAACCATTAGAAGCAGTTGCTTTTGATTTAGAACTATTATTCATGTTAGCTGATTCTATGGATTTTTTATTAAGAGCACAATCCGGTTGATGGATTTTGATCGGAACACTCGTAACCGTTGCTGCTGCTAATGTAGCTGTTGATGGGCCAGCGGTTTCTAAATTACAGACCTGTATAGCTGTGGATGAAGCTTTAGGCAGAGATTTCGAAGAGCATCCAGCTCCGCTTGCATCACAATCTGGGTAGGATGTTGTATTGTTCCTGTCATAGGGTTTCATTACACAGCGAGATGTACTCGGTCCGGGTTGTATTACGTGTGGAGAGCCTCCATTGTATACAGGACCGAACATTCCATGTGGATTAGAATGCATTCCACAGTTACAAGGTGGTGGCATATATTGCGAAGATGTCGAAGGTCCAGCTGATGGACAATGACCCATATTATATTGCTTTTCTAGTTGCTTTGCTTGGGCTGCCATTTTACAGCATATGTTTTTGGTACAGCATTGCGTTTTGTCATGTTGCGTACATGGCATGTGTGACTTTTGAAGCACATCTTGTGGATGATATGGAGCCAAAGGTGGCGGTAGCCCAGCTGATGAAGTAGACGGCCCAGGCATACTTGCATTTACAGGTGGACCCATACTAGGTGCTCCTGATGGTCCAGGAATAGGATCGTGGCGTTCGTCCTTGTGAACCGGGCAATTGCATTTTGGAGCCAAAGTAGGATGCTCATTAGTCGCGTGTTGTGGAGGCATCATAGCGGGAGGAGGTGCAACGGGATGACCCGTAGCATGCATATGATGCGGTGCTTGTGGGGGTCCAATTAAAGGAGGCATACCCTGCTGGTGGTGATGATGATTATGATGCATATGTGGATGCTGTTGAGGTGGCGGCATATTGAATTTCATATAACGATAATCTCGACTACAATGTGGTTGTGGATTACGGAACATTTCGGCTGGCGGTGGAATGAATGGATTACATTTTGATGAATGACAGATCATTCCACCACGGCTATTACGAATCATATTATTGTAGTAGTTATGTTTGGACGCACTTGAACCGTGTCCAGCTGATCCAACCGATTCGTAATAGCATTTAATTTGTAGACATTTTGAACAGTCTTTCTTCATTTGTGGATGCTGTTGAAATTGCTGTTGTGGCGGAGGAGGAGGTGGAGGAGGAGGAGCAGCTGGGAAATTATGCTGCTGATGAGCAGGGCAGTGACACAGTTTGCTACTAGATCCCGAAGAACTCGATGATGATGATGAGGGTCCAGGAACAGGCGGTGGGGGCATTTGCTGCGATGGTGTATCTTTATTTCTAATTACCGGCACCGCTGGCGTTGACGATGAAGCTGCTGGGTAGGGCTCTACTGATTTCTTACTTTGGCAACTGCAGACAGGCTCCGTTATTTTAACCTCGGCAATCTTTGGTTTATGACGGTGCCACAACGCCTGTGCATCTCTTTGTATTTCTCTCATCGTCCTTACTACACTTACAGATAATCTTAGTGCAGCTTCTATATGGCCATGGGAGCGCAAGGAGTCGATACGAGCGGCAGTCATCGATATTTGTTCATGCCACAATGGTTGACCAACGCCATTGAAGTTTGATTTTGAACTAGGACTATTGCTAAGTGATTTACTAGAGCCTGCAATTTGCACCGAGTTTTGGCTCGAGATGGAATAACTATCAGATTCAAGAATGAATTTGAGATGATCATTATCCCATGTCATGTTAACTGCATCCAAAGCCTTGTGGAAAATTGTACGTGGAGTTTTGTTAGCATTTTTCCCCACCCAATTACCATTGTTTAATTTAAGACGCTTGCAAGGTCGACCGTTATTATCATTATTACGATCATTAACAGCATTCTGCGTACGCTTACCAACGTAATCCGGCCCTCTTGAAGGACCTGGTTGAGGCTCATCTAATTCTGCTTCGTTTTGGTTTACTTTGTTCAGTTCATTATCCCTCAGGGCCGATGGTTGCCTTTCTTCATTAGATTGACTAGTTTCAGTGAGGTTTTCAGACTTTTCGGATTTATCTCCACTGCTATTGCAAGTGCTGGCTTGATTATTGTTACTACTATTACCACAAGTACTTGCCATCATGTCACCATCATTATGACATTTACAATCGTCCGTTGTAGACGAGGCTGTTGATGGAACAGTAGAGACTGAAGCTATTGATAATCTTGACAAACCGGATGGACCAGGTACCGCGAGATCTTCAAACGTATTCAAATTATTCTCCTTTTCTAAAATATCACAGTGCTTTTCGTTTTTATCTTCACCAGTCTCAAGTTCTACAGTTGATATATCGTGCTCATTAACTTTTAATGGCTCACAGCCCTGGTTAGCATCTTCAGTAACCATGAAGTTGGATGCTTCACAATCGAAGAATTTTCCAGGCTTGATCTCATCAAAAAAGACAGGACGATTGCACTCACATTTCTGCTCTCCACAGATACAGGGATTCCCTCTGAAGAAGTTATCTTGTTTAATAGATTTATTCGTAGTGATTCCACTGGGTCCGGGCATTGGATTGTCATTATCGCCATCCATAGACTCTCTTGAGCTATCGTCATTGTCCGGAAGGATCGGATTAAGGCTACTATTCTCATTCATTAAATTCAAGTTTATATAGTCATTAACTTCTTGTTTGCCTATATCAGGATTTACACCAAAATTAATATCTTGTAAAATATTATGCACTTGGTCAACTTCTTCCTCCATATGATCCGGAATTGCTTCATTAGCTACGTTTTGGTTTCCATTGTTGTCATTTTCACCGTTTTCTGCATCATTGTTTTCTTCCATCTCGTCATCAGAATCAGAATCCGATTCTGAGCTATCATAGTTGTCGTTTTGAACGTTGTTATGCCTTTCCATAATATTGTCAATCATGTTCCGTTCATTATAATTTCTTCGATGTTGATCGTTAGGATTAATATTGTTTTGATTATAGAACATCATGTTTCTGAGATTGTTCTCCCGAAAGAAACGGTTTCGGTCTCGCTCTCTTTCACGGTTCGATCGCTCTCGAATACTTTCTCTTGTGGAGGTACGCAAATCGGGATCCTCTTGTGGACAAACTTCACTTTTGGACCATTTCTCTAAAAGAGCTTTCCAATGAAGCCGCTCTGCATGGGTGGATTTTGGATTTAATACAATGCAAACCCACAGTGCACCTAATTGATCCCATAATTGTCGGCATTTCTCCGTCATTGGTGTCCCGTGATTTTTCCATAACACCAGTCTGGGATCATTTAGAAACTGTTCTGTAATAAGCGTTAGCATTCTTGCACCGTTTGAATCTTGTGCTCTCAGCATTTCTCGCACCTTACCGAAAAGCGAATTTAGATGCTTGCTGCTGTAATAGTAACTGCCCTGGCCTAAATACGTCTTGACAGCTTCACAAACTTGTGTTTCATCTAAATGCCAAGAATGATCATCGTCTTTGGATGCACCGGCTGTTGGGTCAGGTGCACCGCATATCGAATTGATCTCCGATCTTTGCTGTAAAATTTCATCGGCTAACCGTTGGGCAGTTGGTAAAACTTCTGTATGATGTTCTGAGATCAGGTATTGAATAAACTTTTGCAACTGTTGACGGTTCATTTGCAGAAGCGTTTCTATAAAATACATGGAAATACACATAATCTCATTCAGGATTGTTAAACAACTTAATTCAACTTACCGGAAATAGGAACTCTGAGCTTAACGGTTTCTGCGTTACGTATTCTATACAGAGCCAGAGCAACGACATGATGACACCAGAAGATGTCCTTTGTATCGCAACTGCACGTAACTGATGTGATTTTACATCTGCAAAAGGGAAATGTGTTAAATACGGCTACTTTCGTGTTTTATTGTTGTTTTACACTGATGTTAACCTTATAAACTATAATAAAAAATACATTCACGCATGGTCATAACATAAAAAAAACATATATTATAGTCAGCTATACTCCTGCGGGCGAAAAACAGAAGAAAACTTTCGACGAAGTGCATCACGGAAGAGATGAAAGTCGAAAACAGATGCAACTCTGTTGAATATTCCCTGCAATCCGCAAATCGCACCGCATGCTTCATAATTTGTGCGACGTAGATGTAGTCTTAAGACTCTGAACCATTTGGCGAATTTTTTTAACTTTTGGTTAAAATTTGACAGATGGAAAGTTATTGATTAACCCTGCTATCCGAGCATGGTTATTTCTGACGGACAAGAAGTTAAATTTTGACAACCGTGGCTGAGTTCTGCTCGAAAACCGATCGATCGGTAACACAGGGATTTTCGAACATAAGAAATAGCTTTCGAAATGTCACTGATGTCACTGATTCACACATTCACTTTCTTCAACGTCAGCTGAATGTATTCGGTGCAGTTTAAATCAAAATTATCTGTTATGATGTAACTTATTTTCAATACTCCAGTTGATCTCATTTTGGTTGGCTTAACACAGCAAAAATGAGAGCAAAATGTTACAATGTTGAATCAAACGGAAAAGTAAACCTGCTATCAATTAAATCAATTTGATTACTGATTTTGCATTCATGTTGTTTAACTGAATACGGGCCTGGCGTAAATGGTTAGCATCTGTTAGCATCCATGCTTCTCACGCTGAAAGACTTGAGCTCAAATCTCACCTCGGGCAAAACACGAATGACCTAAAATGTGTTATACAAAACAAATAAACAATAATCGCTATGAAGAGCTTTGAGTGTGTTGGTTTATTTCCTTTAAATTCCGTTATAATTGCTTATCTTTTGATAGATACGCGTATTTCGTCTACTACTTACAGACTTCATCAGTGCCAAGTACTCAAGTGGTGTTGAGTACTTGCCACTGATGAAGTCTGCAAGTAGTAGACGAATTACGTGTATCTGTCAAAAGATAAGCAATTATAACGGAATTTAGAGGAAATAAACCAACACACTCAAAGCTCTTCATAGCGATTATTGTTTATTTGTTTTGTATAACACATTTTAGGTCATTCGTGTTTTGCCCGAGGTGAGATTTGAGCTCAAGTCTTTCAGCGTGAGAAGCATGGATGCTAACAGATGCTAACCATTTACGCCAGGCCCGTATTCAGTTAAACAACATGAATGCAAAATCAGTAATCAAATTGATTTAATTGATAGCAGGTTTACTTTTCCGTTTGATTCAACATTGTAACATTTTGCTCTCATTTTTGCTGTGTTAAGCCAACCAAAATGAGATCAACTGGAGTATTGAAAATAAGTTACATCATAACAGATAATTTTGATTTCAATTTTATCTTCAGCGTTGCTCGGGTTCACTGCCATTCTGTTTAAACTGCACCGAATACATTCAGCTGACGTTGAAGAAAGTGAATGTGTGAATCAGTAAAAATTCATAAACCCATAAAAATCGAAGAATAGAAACGAATATCTAGCACTTATTTTGCGGAAAAATTAGTAAGTAGACGATTAATGACGTAGAGCAATAAACAGCAATTAAATTTGAATTGTGTGCAAACTGAAAAAATGTTCACGTGAAATATCGCGTAACTGATCAGTATTTAGAAAATCTCAAATTGTACGTGACGTTAATTACTTTGACCTGCATTACACGTCATGTTCACTAAAAGTGTTGGTAAAATACTCTGAAGTCTTTTTTTACACGGTTTTCTTTTACGTGGTTTTTTTTACACGGTTATTTTTACACGGTTTTTCGAGATTTACACGGTACGTTTTTAACGATTTCTCGACAACGATACAACCTATCGACTTGATTTCAATCACATTATCCGTTTCAAGCTAGAGATAATCGAATGGCATACTTAGAAAAAAATCACAATTTTTGGTGTAAATACAGAAATTTTTAAAATATGTCTATATGGACCATAGCATGCTATAATTACAAATGGCATCAAAATCCGATTTTTTTAAAAACATTTAAGCATGTAAAAAATCAAAATCTCGTAGATTTTTTTTACGCGGTTTTTTTTACACGGTACGTATCCCCCGTGTGAAAAAAAGACCTGAGTGTATAGCTTTTTTTTCTCGTAAACCGATATAGTGTGATTGTATTATGCCTTGTTCAGACTGGAGAGTTATAATATGTAACAACGGTTGTCAAATAATTGCAACACAGAAACCACCATCAAGATAGCGCTATAACGTGTTATAAATATGTAGTCTGAACAAGGCATTAGGGTGTTAGCGACTTTGACATTTCCGCGAAGCGCGATTTACATGATCAATATGGCATCAACGAGCAAGTTGGTGGAAGAGCTTCATGAAGATTCAAGGTTTCCCAGCAGCATACAGCAAATATTGAACGGTAATTTGATTCTTTCACATAAGTTATTAATGGTAATGTGTAGTTAACACTACGCCTTTTACTACTTTCATAATTTCAGGCGAAGGAATCAGCATTTTGTCTCTGCTAACTGTATCGGAAGATTATAATAAGATTATAATGATAGTTAGTTAAAATTGATGATGAAATAAATTTGTTAATATTTCCAGAAATAAAAGACTCATAAATATTTTCAATGCAATGGGGGCAATGGGAGCGCAAGTTAATCCAAAGCCGAGGATAAAGGAAGGGTAATGGCTGAATAGTCTATGCGGACCACTTGAACGCCAAAGGAAAAGGAAGGGATTGAAGAGGTCGGTTATAGGGGAGTTTTGAGGAAATGACACATAGTACTAGATTTGTGCTGCAAAATGTAAAGAAACCAAAAATCCATCTCCCACTGATTCATCCTTTCACATATATACCACATTGGTATTTTAAAGCAACCATCAAAATAAACAGACAATATACGAAGAGGCTAGTTGCCAGTTGCTTTAAAGGCTAGTTGCCTCCCTAAGCGGACTCCCCGCATCCTAACTCTTTTGTTAATCTACTTAATGTTATTAGGCTGTCTTAATTTTCTTATTTAAGGTTCGGGGGAGGTAGCTCATCGATTCTTCCGGTTCACCTCCTAGCATCGTGCTATAAGGTACCAGGCGATAACCAGGGTAGTTGATCGATAGCTCGATGACGTCATTTCGTTGGCGTCTGCAATGGGAAATTCTCATAGCAGGCGTTGACGATGGGACGTTGTCAAGTTGTTGAATAGCAACTATCGTGGTAACTCACCGATTACCTGTCGATCTGCCAAATTTGGAAAGACGTCTGCATTGAATTGTCTCATATAATAATATTCCGCCCACTATATCACAAGAAATTGCGAGTAGCTGAGTGGAATGGAGATAAGTTAAGCATTGGGTACAGGACCAAGTCTCCCCTGGGTGGTGCCAGAAGATGAGCGCAATAGAATCATCAAGTTGCCATAAAGCACGGAATGAGACTATTGCATGGCTGGGTAGTCAAAGTCTTCCATTCGTTAGTCATTTCAGGTGAATTAGAACAGGTTTAGGTTTAGGGTGGGCGTTGGCCAGATTTGGATTTTTCAGATATAATCCTAAATAGGACCTAGATTATTTAATACACTAGTAACCTCAACTTCTGTCACAATGTTTCATTGTGACTAATCAACACTCAATGGGTAAAATATCAAATTTGCGGTAAATTTGAAAAAAAAGGTAACTTGGAGTGTAGACCGCACTGCCCACTGGACGATTCTGAAACCTGACCAAGTGAGTGGGTTACGGGTTTATTTGATTGTACGTCATTTCCAAGTTATATATAGATACATTCATACCATTGGCATTTTGTATTTGAGATAAGACAGAGACAGGATGCGGATGGCCCGCTTAGGGGGAGCGTAACCCATGTTATGGCTTCCATTTATTAAATAGTTCAGATAGGCTGGAAATGATAGGTTCATCGTGAGAAAATGTACCATATGGTGCCCGTTCACTGATCAAAATTAGATTCAAATCGTCAGGCCCTGCCCTGTAATAAGGGGATTGACGATGATTTGTCAATTTTCATTTTGCATTTGCATATAATTGTAAGTTTAGGTTTGCTTTTGTAATTGTAAGATAGATAGTTTGGCTCAATTGAAACATTGAGTTGTATAAACTTGACGAATCATACCTCTAAAAAAGTAGTAGTTACAGTGCCGCATTATCTAACAACCACTGCCTGCAACTAATGTTGAGGGGTTGGCAGGGCTGATTACGGATCAAAACTAACATAACTCTTACACTGAAATGATCCCGAAACTAACGCTCATTCATTGCACTTTGAGTCATAAAGTAGTTTTATTTATTTTCCTACTAATCTATCTACACACTTAGTTTTTTCTACCGAGCTCGGCTGTGCGGGTCTCGGCGGGGAGGGGGTTTCGCTGAGATCTCGGCGGGAGTGACATTTGATTGCTGAGCTCGGATAATGCCTTTTCTAATAATCTGCCTACGTTTCTTTTCTTTGTTATCTACTTCATCCCTTTTTTATTTTTCTGCTCTTCTTTCCTCTTCTCTTCGTTTGTTTTGTTTGTTTACATATAACTAATACTAATACCTCCTTGTTTTCTCTCTAATTTGTCTACCCACCATCACGATGAGAGATGAGCTACCGTACATGGTACACGCTCATATACACTCCCAAAATAGTATGCCGCAAGTAAGTATATCACAGAGGCAACTAAAAATCCAGAAACGAAAACCGATAACGCTGAAATGAGCTGTGGTGATTTATATGACTAAATAGTATTATTTATTTATACTAACCTAAACACAACGTGGGGTGACCCAAATCCAAACGATCACTAACCAAAATAATAGACTTATCTTTTTTCAGCAGCACTACACCAGCCAGCAAAGTTCAACAATCCATCGTTGCTTATGCCTTTGTTGTCGTTTGGAACCAGTTTTGCGAGGTAGGCGACGATTGTGCGTATTTC